AGTTCAGCAGTAAACTGCGCACAGCAGTAGTCGCTTACTCGCCGCTTGCAGCAGGGTGGGACTGTAGGACTAGACCAATTGGACAAGAGCGTCCTGCATTTCTGCCAAAAGATGACGTCACCAAAACGCCCTTCGGTGGATTTCGGGTTGATACTGCCAGTAAATACTGGGAAGTACTGGATATTCCAGTATCGAAAGCTGTACTAAAGCGTGCAGTACAGTATATTATGGCCAAAGGTACTGCAATACTGAAAATACTGGCAGTATTGTACTGTACTAAACCTGCCCGTGAAACGATTCCTGGGCTCTGATTGGCTTGCACCAATAAAAATAGTCCATAGCTGCCATGAACCCGACGCCACCAAGATTGAGCCTGGCCAAGATTGGCGCCCAGCCTGGGGGTTCTCCAAGATTTCCACTGGGAGGGCCCCTCGGTACCATGGACAGACGAGGCGTACATACGCCAGAGCTGGCGAGATTCTTGCACGCTCCAGTAGCTCGGTACAGCGACCTAGGCACAACAACCTAGCTTGGGGTGTGCGTGTAGGTGAGGGTTAGAGGTAGGGTTGAGCGGCGGGTTAGGCCTAGTGAGGCCTAGCACCGTGGTGTAGCGTGAGGGCTGGAAACCCGCTGTGACTTTGGTTTCGTGCTACCTCCAACCACAGCCCAAAAATTGTTGAACTGGCGAGTGCGAGAATCTCTCCATCATTGGCGTATATACGCCTGTCGACCACAGACATGACCCCGATGGAACCGCCGATGATTGCCAAACAACAGGTTGAAAAATCCAGAAATTCAATCCATCACGGAAATATTCGGGGTATTAGTATAACGACCAAAAAATCACGAAACATTTCCCGGAATGTTTTTTTCTTGAACATATATGGAGGCGTTTTTCCCCGAAAACGTGAAAAGAAGGAGCCGGGATTTTTTGGGGCCTGCTACTTTCACGGATCCGTGTTGTGGACAGAAGCATCGGACAAGCGCACCGCGGGCGCTGTAACATCACTGA